GAGGATCGACTCCCAAAAACCCCGGGGGGTCTGTTTTTTTCATTTATTTTTTATTTTTTCATTAGGGGAGCGACTCCCAAACCTTCTGAAGGTTTTGGAGGTCCGACTCCCGAGGACGTCCTGAGGAGCGTCCCCAGATGGTCCTTGCGACGTCCCAGAAATTTGGGAGTCGGAACTCCAATTTCTGGGAGTCGTTTAACTAAGACCCAAAATTAATGAAAAAGAAATAGAAACTGACATGTTGAGTGATAGAAATAAAACAGACAGCTTACTTATATCACAAGAACACTATGAGAAAATCTCAGTAAACTGCTGCCATTTGACAGGAAGAAACTCTTATTAAAGTTTGGTTGTTCCCAGATGTTACTCAACCATTACTTCAGGCTGTTCATCCATACTTCAGTCAGTGGGCACATTGCACAGCTACTGTGCAGACATTTTTGCATTGGAATAGATTGAATTATACACAAGTCACATTGCAAGTAACCTGCATGTCAACTGCCACCAGTTTGGTGAAATTGTTTCCTAGCAAATGTTATTCCAGTATTCCCTTATTAGCTATCAGAGAGGGTGGGAGAATGGGACTATGTGGTTTGTAAGGCTTCTGAAAGTGACCTTGATGCCAATTTTGTTGTGAGACCTGGTGGGGCTTCGAACAGCAATCTTGAAATGCATGAAAAAAACAAATGGCTTATATTGATCCAGATTCCAATCACATCTGGAAAAAATCTATGATCAACAGATGAACATGGAAATCAGGGCCATTTCAGCCTTTTAACCATCATCTACCCCATTGTGGTTATGGGGGTTGGAAAAACGACTCCCAAAAATTAGTCGACGACTCCCGTTTTGGTCGGGAGGTCGTCGAACGGGAGTCGTCCTTCCAATTCCTGAAAAAACATAGGGAGTCGTCGTACTAATTTTACCTGGAGATTTTTTATTTTTTTTCTTAAAAAATTGGGAGTCGTCTGACTAAAATGCGGGAGTCGCCGCACTAATTCCGCCTAATTTTTCGCATTTTTTTATATTTAAATCAAAGGGAGTCGTCAGACTAAAGTGCGGGAGTCGTCCCACCAATTCCGCCTAAAATTTCAAATTTTATATATAATTAAATTCAAGGGAGTTGTCCACCTAATACAAGGGAGTCGCCCCACCAATTCCGCGCAATGTTTTCCCTTTTTTTCTATGTTAATAGAATATGGGAGTCGTCCAACTATAAATGGGAGTCGTCGCCATATGGCACCCTCAGAGACTTCAAAAAAAGGTTGAGCCACTGAGGCCCCACCCCAAAGGCAAGATACACAAATTAGAATGATAAAAAAATTAGAATCATTGAGAAAATCCATTGCAAGAGATAAAAGAGATGACAAACGGGCCAAAAACATTCAAAAATGATCAGAAATGTAAGGAAAAAAACAGGGTAAAAAAGGACATAGAGGAAAAAAATCAATAACTAAAAAAGACACAGGATAAAAAAAAACCCTAGTAGTGTTTCATTGGATTTTCTATTTTCCTCTCTACAGTCAATTTGAAAGAATCAGAAAATTGGGCTTCCCATCCCCAAGCCTCTTCTGACGCCTTTTCTTTCCACGCGTTCATGAGCTGAGGGGCAGCAAACAGTCTTGGGTTATGTAACTGCAAGGGGACAAAATGAGAAAATTCATGTAGAAAAGCAATAAGAATAGGGGGGTTGTCATTGGGGGGGCAGAAAGAAGGAAGAAAAGTCTGGCAAAAGGTGTCAGAAAAAAAGCAAACAGGCCTCTCAAAGGTGTTGGTCATTACCTCACCCGTCGAAGGCATGGACATCCAATGAGGCTTTGAACGAGGTGATGGCGAATCAACCTTGATACGATCCAAAGCGCCGTGGAGTTTGTGGAACACGTTTCGATACCAATCAGGCCGGCGAACAATTTCATTGTACAATTCATATCGAACCGCCATATAATCGCCCTGCCCGCGTCCCAATGCGTAAGCCACAGCTCGGAATCCGCAGTGTCCATCTGATCGAACATCCAAAATATCCCGGACATCAGGTTGAATAATTTTGGGTAAGTACTGAAGGTAATCGAGATCGGATGGGGGAATTGGGAGATGGGGGTTAGATGGACGTGGGGGAGGGTCTAGAAGCACCAATGGGCTGGTTCGGTGGGAGTGATGGGGGACGAGGGCACAGAGGCATCGGCAGAGGAATTGACTTTGAGCTTTTTATGGTTGGCTTGAACGGGGGAGGAGGGAGGGAGGATTCAGGGTCATTTACCTTGGATGCTGAGGTGAAGTCCGTCGTGAGGTTTGATAAGATGAACTATCGGGCTGAGACCACGTAACTCTTCGGCCCAAGCCTTCTTTCTGGCGGAGTACACAGTTGAAATAGTGGCCAAGATCGACTGATCGGGATGTGTCTTCTTGAGTGATTGGAGAACCTGAGCTGGTTTTAAACCCGCGTCACCTAGTTTCTTCATTTGCTCATAGAGCTCCTTCGAGAGTTTTCGATTGGCGGTGTGCCCGGACGGATCTTCACTGGGTGCATGATTATGTCGGGGATCGGCCACGGTAAACTTCCATTCCCCTCCGGCCTTCTTCTGGATCTGGGCCCTCGCGTCGAATGGGCAATCGATCAGTCGACTGACGATGGGTCCAGGGCGTGTGTCATTCTTCCGTCTGTTTCGAGCTGGGTTACCACCCCTACACATAAGATGGAGAAAAAGTTTGGCCATTGAGCATGAGCTCTGATTTGAGTGCTATGCAGAAGGAGTACTTACCTGTCACATTTGAAAGTGATACTCTTCCCGGGAACAGTCCTCTTCCTGACAATGACGAAACCATTTTCCCGAGCGAAGGTTTTGATGGAGTGCTCGAGGATCAAAGGGTCGGAATAAGTGGCCGCAGGTGGAGCGGGTATGTCGGTATGTGGTGCTTGCGCTGGTGTTGGGGGGATGGTTGAGGTCTTTGTTGTTGTATTTGTCTTATCTTCCGGATCTGACTCAGGCTTGTCCTCCTCAGCGTTGTCGCCAGTGTGCTTGTCGGCTTGACTTGCAAGTAGCTCTAAGCATTTTTCAATGGTTACCGTTTCGTCATCTTCAGCGGTTTCTGCGTGATTGTCATCAGATTCTTCTTCATCTTCAGTGGTGATGGGGCTGACTGGTGCCGTTGCCTTGGGTTTGACAGGGGGGGGTGGTTGGTTCTCAGGGGGTCCGGTGACAGGGCGGATTGTTTCCTTGGGTTTGACGCTGGTGGGGGCAACCGTGGCGCGGGTTCCGGAGAAAAGTTGGGTTTCGGAATCGGCACCAGGGATGACGGCTCCTACGGGGGCCAAGAGGCTTGGATCATGCTCGGCCAGGTTGGGGGGGTTGACAACTGTGGTCCGGGATGCGACGACCCCCGCAGTTAGCCTGACGACTGGCGTTTTTTGCGTGACGACTGCCGTTTCTTGAGCGACGACTCCCGTTTTTTGCGCGACGACTCCCGGGGCCAAGGTGAGTCCGGTGGTGGGGGCGGCGGCGACGACTGCGTTGCGGGGGGCTAGCGAGTCCCGCCCCAGCGGCGACGACTCCCGTCTCTGGGGCAGCGACTCCCTCTCCGGCGTGGACGACTCCCGTCCCGGCGGCGACGACGGCGGTCCCCGGCGTGACGACTCACGTCTCTCGGGCAGCGACTCCCTCGCCTGCGTAGGCGACCCCCGTCCCGGGCGCGACGACTTCCGTTTTGCCAGCGGCGACCTCTGCGACGACTCCCGTGGCTCCTGCGGGGTTTCCGACCCCGATGACGACCGGCTGTTCCTGCTGGCGCCCGTCGGCGGTAATCCATCGACGGCTCGGGTCTGTCGGCGGTGGACCATCGTCGGCTCGGATCCGTCGGCCGGCTGTGG